TTACAGACCTTTTTTTAGTCCTAGAGAGTCCTATTTAAAAGATTTAAACGAACGGAAAACTCTACTTTTGTTTGAGTGATTTTTTTTACTTACTTTCAAAAATCCAAAACTTTTTTAATGTCTCACTTTTTTTTTGTGAAAAATCGGACCATTTTAATAAGAGTTTTTTTTTTTTTTTGTTTTTTTGAGTTTTACAATCTCCTATTTAAACATTTCCCTTAGGGACACCTTATATTTATAGGTATATATATTTTATGCTGTTCAAACCGTTATTCATTACGTTATTAAGTATTTCACAATAAAAAAGCTATCTAACAAAAAACAAAGTTTTAAAAAACTGGTAGTTTCTGAAAACAGCGCGTTGAATAAAAGGCACTCAAGAATTCTGCTAATTAGTATACAGGGTGTCTCGCTTCTTAATAGCCAAATTATGGAGGGGGAATAGGAGGGGGCTCATTCTAGATACAATTTACAACAAAAAGATCATTTTATTCATGTGCCGTTTCGGAACGGAAAAGAATTTAAGACCAATTAGTCAACCATTCCTTATTGAATAAAAAGTGATTTCTCAAAAACTTTTCACTTTATATATTAATGAAGTTTATTGAAGAAAAATAATACAATCTGCCACAATCTAGGGCATTGATTATTATGGGTCTAATGTAAAATATAAATTGAGAAAAAAACCAATAAAAAAAACATATAAGTAAAAATATAAACTTTAAAAGAAAAAAAAATTGTAAAAAGGAAAAAAAAAAAGTACATTGAAAGAAAGAAGAATAAAATACTTGTCACACATTCATTTCCACGTACTGAATACTTACATTCAGTCTAGGGAACCCTGAGCCATGCCTTGCCGATCTTACGTGATGGTACACTGTATAAAAACCAATCACTGTAGAAATCACTGTAAAAAAGATCACGCATCACTGTATAAAAGCCAGTGGATACTGTGTAAGAGCGCTAAAGCCACATACGCTCAGGACTGTGTGGAGAAGCTGGCCACTGCCAGAACTCCGATAGAATATTTTTAAAAGATCTCGGGGCTATTGCAGTTTCAACTTTCATGGGGGATTATATGGATGATTGGAGCTGGAAAAAATGCCTTTCTAGAGGATTAGGATGATCCATACGTTTTTTATGAAAGTTTGAGAATTTGGATGGAATTACGTCAAGGGCAAAGGGGATGCTGAGATCATGATGTAAGGTTTTGTTTGTGACGTAGTATGGAGCATTAACTATTGTTCGACTTTGGATTGGATATGTTTGATGTTCGAAGATTTAGTTATCCTCCACAGTTCAAATCCATATGTCAAAATAGGTTTTAGTATTAAAAACTGTTCAAGATAATTAAATTCGAAGTAGACCATCGTAAAGTAAATAATTTTTTTTTTTTTTTTTGTGAAAACAGTGATTTAATTTGATAAGATCAATAATAAAAGGGACTTTCAAGAGGTCTGATACGGCCGCTGTATTGCTGCTGTTCTCAAATAAAAAAGTACTTTTGAGTACTGGTGTACTTAGAATTTAATTACCTCGAATAGTTTTATAGAAATTCCTTCTTATTCATTGAAAAACATGACCAGAAGGACCAAATGCGCCTTAACTCATTTTCAGTTCGGAATTGAACCATGCAATAACTGGACTTTTTTGTTGAAAATTTTGTCTAGAAACACTCCCAGAGTCTGTCTATTAAGAATTGAGACACCCAACATATAGAGAAATATATGCTACTTTTTTCTAACCTATATGCGTTACGTTGTAAAGTCTCTATAAACAACCTATCTAACGCATTAGGAGTTTTAAAAAACTGGTAGTTTCTGAAAATAGTATGTTGAAAAAATAAGAACTTATGAGCTTTGTTATATAAGTATCAAGAGTAAATCTTATATATTTTTTCATGTGGATGTAGGCGTGAAGTGATTACCAATTATGAATAATTATAAATAAGATTTATTATAAAAGGCCTTTTGTTAGCTGCTACTATTAATCACCGCTGGACCAATAAAATCCCAGTAAATTTATGGAGCAAGAATTAAAGCGGGATATGTAGTGCCCAGCCTTCGCTATGGGGTTAGTACTCATTGTTCTCCTGTCCTCCGTCACAATATTTCTTGTTTAAAGCCCTAGAACATAATCATATTTAAGAGCGTGTAAAAGGTCTTGGATTATTTTTTTTTTTTTATAATAAATCATAGCGTGTGATTTATTCCATATCATTTAATAATCAAATATCGTTTACAAATTAAACCTACATATATATATATATATATATATATATATATATATATATATATATATATATATTTTTTTTTTTTTTTTGCCATCACATTTAGCTTTAGCTACCAATAAATCATAAAATCCCTTCAATATTAACTATATTATAATTATAAAATAATAACTTCTAATATTAAATATTTTCTTTTTATTCCAGGTGAGTCAACTGTTCTTTGTACGAGTTTGTTTTGAAAACTAAGAGTGTAAGTTTTTTTTTTTGTTTTTTTTTTTCATTTTTCGTCTAAATTGTGGAGCAGATTAATTCAGTTAGTAAGGCACTCCTGTTTTCCCTATCCCGGGTTCAAAACCGTTTGGGATAGATAAATATTTATTCAGTTTCTCTGGGATACTATGACCATCCTGAGGCACATACACCATTATAATGTGAGTAGCGTTAATTTACGCAGAAAACCTCGCGGTTGTGTGTGATTTCTGTCAAATCACCTCCCTTAAAATTATTAGTTAAATTTTTATATTGTATATGATTAAAAAAAAATATTTGAACCATTGTAATAGACATTGACTAAAGATGGCTTCCATATTCAATTTACTGTTAAATAATCTTAGCAGTTGAATAGATTGTTTTCAATGTAAGGGATTTTCATTTTGTTTATTTGTAGAGAAAAGTTGATCTTATTACAATTCTCTCAATTCTTTTGGTTTTTCAGCGTAAAATAAAACTCAATGTATTATAGACCATTTTTTCCATCTTTCCACTAACTACGTAATGCCATATTCATAGAATGTCTGGTATTTATTGTTAAATAACATCAACATAACACAAAAGTGGTTTTTGATGTTCTCTTCCTTTTTGAATTTCTTTCCATTCATGGAGTTCTATGGAGAACGGAAGAAGTGGTAGTCACTTGGAGCTAAAAAGATCTGGTGAATAGGGATGGTGGGGTAAAAGGTCCCACCCAAGGCTCAATAATTTATTGCGAGTGACCTATGAGGTGCGGGGCCTAGCATTGTCTTGGCACAACACCCTTCCGATCATTCATAACTCTTCAGGATGTTCTCCAAATTCGATGTTACTATGTCCATCAGAAGGCTGAATTATTGCTCTTCAAAGCCGTATGAATACTTTTTTTATTTATTTAATGACTACATAAGGAAACTCCTTATAGGTTTTTATTTTTTATCTAAATTTATAGTTTGTTCACGAATGTCCTGCTGATGTCATTTTGTGTAGTTTATGTGACCCTAAATTCCTCCTGATTTCTTATAGATAGCTATAGTCATAACATTTTTTGTGATTTTCAAAAAAAAAATTATGTGAGAGACCCAAACATTAGGCCTGGAAACATAGAGCTTGTGCAAATGATTTTCTACGCTGTGTGCGACACATTTAGGGACATAGTAATTGCTAGCTCCTGGCACTGTTGGGTGGGATTTTGATCAATGGCCTTAACATTACTCATTTCAATTTTTTATAAATTATAAGAAAAAGAAATTTTTTTTTTTCATTTTTCTAACTTTTTTTAAATTATACAACAAAATATGCCGATAATGAATGATATTTTATTCCATATTCAAGGTGCTATAGCAAACACAATACTAAGCTATTTTCAACAAAAGTTAACAGATATAGTTGTTACTAACATATTACTAACAGGATAAATAATCCACTTTAAGGATTAATTCATCAGATAAGAAGTTGATCATAGTGACATAAAAATAAACAGGAAAATCCAAAGGACTTATTTTCCAACCCAATACAATGGTGCTTTTAGTTTTAAGATAGGATATTAGGTATATATAGCATAATTAAAGTTATTCTACTTAACTTGTGAAAATATTTTAGCAGTAAAATGAGTGAGATGAATTAAATTTAGTTAGTTATTTGAAATATATTTGAATATATAGGATAATTATATCATGAAGTGTTTATTGTTTATTTATTAATATGTGCAACAATCCTTCGATGCATATTTCACGAATTTTCAAAAATTTCTACCTCTTCCAATTCGGCTTGTCTCTTCCTTATCCACATTTAAAATGATAGGAATTCCTAGATAGTCACTGGCTTAACATGTATTAATATCAAGGCTTTTTTTTAATTATTCATGTTTTACCTACGAATCACTTGTTTATTACTACCATTTTCTGCTATGAAAATTACACGTTTTTTTACTCAATTTCTTTTTATTTTTTTATTTTTTGTAACTACGACTTTTCTCGCATATGTATGTACATAATGTGTTCATTAGTAATCAATACTCTTCCCAAAGGACGTATTTCTGATTTAAATCGTAAGTGTGTGATCATATCGACATTTTTTACTGATATTTTTTTTTTCAAATGTTATTTTCTTATCAAATAATTTTGAAGAAATTTAAGTAATTTCTCAACAAATTTAAATAACGACTTTTTGAAGATTGATATTGCGAAGGAAGGCTTACTTTCCCTAGCCCCGCCCTGTTGTTGAGTTGGGACATGTTTCTATTAATTCAATTTTTTGTCTTCGACCCACACTTATGATTTCGCATCCAGGTTTCGCCCACATCAAGAACAATGACTGAACCAGCTATTCAATATGAATAACATTTTTTTGTTTTTTGAATTCAACTTTAAGCATTTCCTGATGTTTTCTCTCAACGTTCTGAAATAAAGTAGTTACAGCTGAGATTTAATTGAATTTTAAGATAACAACAAAGAGCCCCTACTTAACATTTGCAGTGGCCATTATCGCACTGCGCCATAGCTTATCAGACTTCTGCTACCTTCTGGAAAAACCTCGAGGAAAACCGTCCACTCCTCGATCTTCCTCATGATCGGGATGTCCCTCGGGAATCTCTGGCCCGACAAGAGTGTCATCCTTCCTCGACTAGCCGATAAAGGAGAGGGTCAACAGGCCTCAGATAGCGATATCTCTCAGTCCACCTCAGTTCAGTCAGCTCTCTTGTTCTTCTTACTCATGTCAAAGCCTTCGATACAGCTTTACGTATCCACCGTTACCCAACTTCGAGGCAGCTGTTATTTATATCCAGGTATTTTGTAAAGTTATTATTATATATATTGTCATTATAGTCCCCAACACAGACACTTTTACCAAATTATTATAATATTCGTCTAAAACTTCGTAAATGACTTCATGTTTTCGTAACATACAACTTTTTTATTTCCGAAAATTCTCGGAAATCTGGACATCGGTAAACATTTTCTATTTAATAAGATTCTAAAAACTCATGAATTCCCATTTGCTTTCCACTTGAATCGTAAAATAATTTACTCAAAAACTCTAGAAAACAATAGAGCTACAAAAATATTGGGCCGTTTTGCGTGACCTGTACCTGGAACATGTCAAAATAGCAAGATTATCAAGGCCAAACAGCCAGATATTTTTACAGCCCTGTCTTTTTTCTCTATTTTGTAGTCAAATTATCTTATGATCGAAATGGCGAGCAATTGGGTTTTCATAACTTTTTGAATTCTCATCATATTTATTTTCTAAAAAAAGGCCCATTTCCAAGAATTTTATCTTACATGCCACAGATATTTAAAAAAATGTCGAAGATATGGTATACAGCAAAAAAAAAAAAAAATGAGTAATAATATATCGTACATATTTTTATCTATATGTAATTAGGAATCCATAGCAACTATGGCATTAAGATTTACTATCGATTATAGATATATTACATTACCATATTATATATATATATAGGATATATATTTTTTTAATTCATATTGGAAGTTTCTGTTTGAGTAAATTTATATGAAGTAATATGAGTTATATTTTTTCAAATCAAAATAAGCAGAGAGAAAAAAACAAAAAGGTTTATATACGAATATAATCTTGATCAATTTAAGTACTACTTCTTTATTTTTTTACGCCAATCACGAAATAAGAAAATACCATTATATTTAATTAAAATATGAGGTTTGAGCACTAGCGAATTCGGGATTTAATTTTGGGTTGGCTTTAGCCCGAAGGCTTATACACAGGTTGTTTCAGGGTTAAGTGGCCAAACTGCAAAAATGAACTATTATGTCCGCAAACACTTTGTTTAGGAGATATTCACACCTAAATATTTTCGTTATTATGAATTATTTACGTTTTATATGAAATAAATAAAACCTATTTATTTGTTCTCACTACTTTATTAAATAAATGTAAACATTAACATTTATATGAAATGTTGTTCAAAGTGAAGGTATGTCCGCAAACGCTTTGCATAGGAGATGGATTAGATAGAATAGTAATACGGTATTTTATCCCTAACTGTATAAAAACTATTGGCAACATAAGGATTAATAGTATTTGGATTTAGCATTGGGAACTCTCAATAACATTTATCAGTTTGTAAGAGGCTTCTGCAGGGTACTCATCATTATGCCTTCCATTTATACTAATGGCGAATATACTGATATGGTGTTTGTATACGGTTTTTGCATTGTATGATATATATATATGGTATATATGGTAATGCTAATGCTGCCCGTCGTGAATATGCCAGGCGATTTCCGAATAGAAGATTACCAAACGAGTCTATCTTTAGCTTCACGTTTCAACGTCTTAGAGAAACTGGTACATTTTCTATACGACCACGTGCTGACTTTACTTTTGACCCTTTACGAAATGAAGAAAGGAGTGCGACCATATTACAATATTTTGATGATTTAATGTTTACGTTTAATTGATAAAGTAGTTGGAACAAATAAATAAGCATTATTTACTTAATATAATGTAAATAATTTAAACAATGAAAATCTTTAAGTGTGAATATCTCCTCAACGAAGTGTTTGCGTATTTTTTTCAGGATTTTTTTTTTTTTTTTGGGTTCCTTAATTCATATTCTCAGTTTGGCCACTTAACTCTGAAACATCCTGTAAATAAATGTAACGATTATTGTTTTGAATGAAGAAGAAAGATCCTAACTACCTACTTATTTGAAATGGCGTTTAAGTGATTCTTGGAGTCCTATTAAATGTAATTACAGGAACAATAATACTTTTAGAGATGATTTTTATTATTTGTTTTCAAAAGATTATTGTTTTTCTTTTATATTATAACTCCAAAATTCAATACAACTGGATTTTTGTTAAAATCTTAAGGCAAACAAAAATAAAAATACAGTAAAAAATTTTAAGACAACAGGCTGTTCTTGGCACGTAAATATTTAAATTCACAAACTGTCTTACCAAAACCAACAATAGACTAATGCATATATATATATATATATATAAAATAGTGAGATTGAACCATTATTTGCAAATTTTGTTGTTTTATGAAGCAGTAAAATATGATGACCCTAAAAGAAGTTTAATATTGTTATTACATTACGTTTTTAGGAGCAGTTATTCCATTCCTTAAAGGAAATTGCTGACGGAAGGAACCTCAATTTCGTTTTATGTTGAGAAATAAAACATAATAGGTTTGTCGTCAAATATGATTACGGCCTATTTTATTTTATTATAAATGAAATTTATATGTTCTTGTCAGTGATCGATTAATCGCTCCTGTATGGCGATGGATCGAATATTAGATAGTAAAAATAAAAATGAACGTATGATATTGTTTCTTTTTTAAATATTTTTACTACGATTCATATAATACTTGCGTTCTCATGATTTCTCATAATAATATTTACAAAACAAAAAACAAATCATACGTTTACGAGCATAACACTGGTTTGGAAGACGAGTGGAACAATACGAAAAAGTTAAATTTACAGGAGTAACGTTTAAGGTTTGCATATTCAGGTTTATTGCTGCCTGTAACTCACTTTATAATACCACGAAAACATAAATAATCTTCATTTTTTTATCATATACTATGTATAAAAAGTGGAGTCAATGAATGCTCGAAAAGGGGGTATAGAAGGAAATGGCGGTGAAACAATTTTTAACTTTAGGACATTGTTTGGACTAGTAAGGAGGTAAACACATATTAAGTACCCACTCCTAGATGTTGGGGCGCCAAGATCACTTATTTCGGTTTTTCGCTTAGATCAGGAAAACTATCCATCGCATAGACAAAGGAGTTCTATACAAAATTAAAGCTGGTAAAATTAGCAATACGATTGATCATTTATTTATTTTTGAAAAATCGCTTAGTTTCCGAGATATTATACATATTGTATAATATATATACACATATTTCTTATGTGTTTTACTATATTTGACTAGCTAACTCTTCCTTCATTGCTTCGTTATACGATTAAGTCATGGCATAGGCGGATCTACGGGGAGAGGGGGCTTTCGGGCTGAAGCCCTCCCCAAAAAATAGTAAAATATAACAATTTTTTTATAGAAAAAAATATTAAAATAAAAACTATCTCTTAAACTATTATTGTTCGTGTAATTACATTTATTAGGACTTCAAGAATCACTAAGACACCATGTCATATGGGTAGTTTCTTTTTTTTTCCAAATTAATTATCGTTATATATATGAAAAAAAAATATTTCGGGCTGAAGCCTCTCCTCCTCCCTCCAAAAATTAAATCCTGGATCCTCTAGTCAGTCATGGGATAGGATAATTTAACAATGGGATAACTTTTTAATAATTAAATTTTCTTCAGGAATATAATATTATATTACTAGTTTATCTTCAACTGTTAATAATTTAGATCAATTATAGCTTTTGATGTCAATTACGAAAATTGCTAAAACAAAAATAATTTTTATAATCATTCATTGACTGGAATATAAATACAGTAGCATAGATCCCTTTTCAGGCTCTCAGGAGACTTCATTTTTATGAATGAGATATCAAACGAGAGGGAATTTCATGGAAAAGTGACGTATGCAACTTAAAATCCATTATATTAACCACAGTGTTATTATTTTTCAATTTACTTTGCTTATTCATATGTCAATTTTTTTTTTTAAATTCAACAATTCAGTAAGTAGTTATTTCCTAAAATATTTTATTTTTATTTTTCATGTATCTTTTAATCTTCCAAGGGTGTTAACGCTTGTTAACTAATTAAAGCTCTTGAAAAATCGATTAAAGATTCGATCGATTCTTGAAATCCATCAATGAAATTAGCATCGAGTTTAATAACTTGTCTATTGTTTGTTCCTAAATTAGTTAATATAATTTAATAGCATTCTTATTATTTACATTTTGCTTTGATAAAAATAAACTTATAGTTTTCTATAACTAAATTATAAATAAATTTTAAAATATTTCATATTTTTATTGTTATATTTAACAATGTCCACATAAAATAAATTTCTATTTGATTAATTATTCCAACTTTTGTGGAAGTGCAAAGAGAAACAAATTAACTAAGTTTCCATTACTCAAGTGCCCTTTGTCATCTCGTTTTTTTTTTTTTTTCTTTATTGTAATTAATAAATTCCACTGAGATTAATTCCAATTAAAGTTTGAATAATATTAACGGAATTAAATATCAACATTTATTTATTTCGGTTGATTATTTTTAATGATCCAACAAAAAAAAAAATTTAACCTGATTTTTTTAATATAACTGAAAAATATAAAACCTGAGGTTTTACCACAAAACAAATATTTAAAAAATCTATCCTACTTTTTTTTTTTTTTTAATTTATTAGCATATTCTTCCTCTGCCTCTAAGCAATACATAACGCATGCCATTTCTATCTTCTTCATATCTATATATAATATTATTCTATTCACTTTCATTGAAAGAAATTGAGCCCTATAATTACTTTTGACCGTACACGAAACCTTGTACAAGTGTTGTATTTCCTCATTAAAAGAGGGAAATCTTCCTCAGTGATAAAATACAATCTGGTTTTTCATCCGTTTGCCAATCGCCGATTTATTTCATATTTGACACCAAAGATATTATCCAGGACGAACCTCGAAATTGAACATTACCAGCCACCATTTTGTTTAAAAATGTTCATATTTTGTACATTAATGAACATAAAGAAGAAGTATGATGCATTTTGGAACCATAACAATAACACTATTTGTTCATATCAATTATAGTAATACATCAAATGTGATTGGTAGAACCTCCTTACTGTTTTATTCAGTATATTGATTTTGT